CTGCTACGCTGATCAGGTGGCTTCTAGCCACTGAGGGCACTCGTGGTCGTCGAGTCAGTTGTCTTCACTCCGACCGTGGGGGCGAGTTTCGCTCCGGCATTCTCGGCGGATTCTGCGGCGAACAGGGCATCACCCAGTCCTGGACGCTGCCAGAGTCCCCACAGCAGAATGGGGTTGCTGAGCGCCGCATAGGCTTGGTCATGGACATCGCCCGCACGTCCATGATCCATGCCCGTGCACCCCATTTTCTGTGGCCTCACGCGGTTCGCTACGCCGCACACCAGCTGAACCTCCAGCCGCGTGTCTCGCGGCCCGAGGCTTCACCGACCAGTCTTTGGACTGGTTCCCCTGGTGTTGGGTCGGCCTTTCGAGTCTGGGGCTGCCTTGCAGTTGTTCGCGACACCTCCGCGGACAAGCTCTCGGCACGCGCCGTCCCCTGTGTCTTCCTTGGTTTCCCAGTGGACTCTGCCGACTGGTCCTTTTACCACCCGCCCCTCCACCAGTTCCTAGACTCCCGTGACGTCCGGTTTGACGAGTCTGTGTCCTACTACACCCGGTACCCCTGTCGAGGTCTCCCGGTACCCCCTCCCCCCCTGTTCCTAGCACCCTCTCCTCCTCCTGCTCCTGCTCCTCCGGTACCCCCGCCCCCCCTGGTCCTGCCCCGTCTGGTGTGTCTCACGCTACCCCTCTACCCTCGGTCGCGCGTCAGGTAGCGTCTCCCTCCCCGCAGTCCTCCTCACAGTCCCCTCAGCAGCCGTCGGCACTTCCGCGACAGGTTACTGTGGACTCGGTTGGTGTTGGAGCTGGAGGTGCAGCCGCAGGCGGTGCTCGGTCTGGGGGTGCTCGGTCGCGGGGTGCTGGAGCTGGAGGTGCTGGCGCAGGTGGCGCTGGCTCTGGGGGTGCTGGAGCTGGAGGTGCTGGCACTGGAGGTGCTAGTTCTGGGGGTGCTGGAGTTGGCGGTGCTGGCACTGGCGGTGCTAGTTCTGGGGGTGCTGGAGTTGGAGGTCCTGGCACTGGAGGTGCTGGTTCTGGGGGTGCTGAGTCTGAGGAGACTGACGCTGGAGACCCTGGTTCTGCAGAGTCCACTCCGCCTCCCCACCGCCACGACACGCGTCTCCAGGCTGCCCGTCGGCGTGAGCGTGAGGAGCATGAGCGGTTGGAGAGGGAGCGGCAGGAGCTGCGGGTGCTGGACCTTCTGGAGCAGCAGCGGCAGCAGCAGCAGCAGCAGCCGCCACCGCAGCTTCCTCTGGAGCGGCAGTTGTTCCCACCTGTGAGTGGCCTGCGGGCCCTTGGCCTTTCCTCCTCTCCTCCTGTCCGCTCCCAGTCTCCTCCTATGTTTGTTCCTCCGTTGCCTCCTCCTGACGACCGTCCGGCGGTCTGGTCTTCTCCTCCTCCTCGGTCTCCTCCTCACTCTGTCCGTCACGACTTGATCACTCGTTGTCCTCCGCGTGCTCGTCACTCGTCCCCTGTTATTGACCTCCACACTGCCCTCTTTTGTTCGTCCAGTCCTCGTTCTTGTTCTCCTGTGTCCGTTCTCCCGTCTCCTCCTCCGTCCTCTCTCCCAGCCCTCCCCACTCCTATAACTGACTACTACCGCACTGTTCGTCCTGTTGCCGCACGTGTCCTCGCCACTCTTGTCACTGACTCTCGTTTCCCTCCGTCGTCTGCCTCGGCTCTTACTGCCGCTGTCGCTGAGTTTGCTGCCGCCAGCCGCCTTGACTACGCCACCCGGGTGGTGCCAGCTCCTCCCTACCGTCCTCTGTCCGTCGGGGGTGGGTTTGCCCTTGGCTGTGACGTCCTAGAGGACAGAGAGTCTGAGCTGGAGTACTGGGCAGCCGCTTCTCCCTCTGTGTGTGCCATGCTGCTCTCCCCTGAGGGAGACCCCGACGCCCTTGACATACCGACTCCTCGCACTTACCGCGAGGCAGTGTCAGGGGCGTGGGCCTCTCAGTGGAAAGCGGCTATGGACTCAGAGTTGGCGTCTTGGAGATCCACAGGCACCTACGTCGACGCAGTTCCCCCTCCCAGGGCGAACGTAGTCGATGGCATGTGGCTCTTCAAGGTGAAGCGGCCGCCTGGAGCACCGCCGGTGTTCAAGGCGCGCTACGTGGCTAGGGGCTTCAGTCAGCGTGAGGGAGTTGACTTCTTCCAGACCTTCGCCCCGACCCCGAAGATGACTACTCTTCGGGTGTTACTCCACATAGCAGCGCAGCGAGACTACGAGCTGCACTCCCTCGACTTCTCCACTGCGTTCCTCCAGGGCCGACTGCACGAGGAGATCTGGCTGCGCTGTCCTCCTGGCTTCACTGACACCTTCCCACCTGGGACCCAGTGGAGCCTGAGGCGACCAGTCTACGGTCTCCGCCAGTCGCCCCGTGAGTGGCACGACACTCTTCGCTCCACGCTTCGTGACCTTGGGTCCAGCCCATCCTCCGCCAACCCGTCGCTGTTTGTTCGAGCGGGTTCTACTCCTTTCTTTATCCTTGTCTACGTCGACGACTTGGTGTTTGCTACCGCAGACAGGGCAGCCCTGGCTCAGGTGAAGTCCGAACTGCAGAAGAGACACAAGTGCACTGACCTGGGTGAGCTGCAGCGCTACCTTGGCCTACAGATCACCAGGGACAGAGCCGCTCGCACCATCACACTGACGCAGTCACACATGGTGCAGCAGGTCCTTCGGCGGTTCGACTTCACTGGACAGCTGCTGTGAGGGTGGCGAAGTACCTGGCGACTACATCAGGCATGGGGCTTGTGCTTGGAGGGACTCAGCCAGTGGCGTTGACTGGTCACTGCGACTCTTCCTACGCTGACGACGTGGAGACTCAGCGCTCGACTCAGGGTTACTGCTTCAGTCTGGGAGCTGGTGCTGTGTCGTGGAGGTCTACACGGTCGTCGTCTGTGGCTACTTCCAGTGCAGAGGCAGAGATCTACGCTGGTGCCATGGCGGCACAGGAGCTTCGCTGGTTGACCTTCTTGCTCGTCGACCTTGGTGAGCGGCCTCGCTCTGCACCGACCTTGTACGCTGACAACAAGGCCATGATCCTCCTGTGTCGAGAGCCTCGACTGGAGAGCAGAGTGAAGCATATTGACGTGAGGTACTTCCTTCTGCGAGAGCTGCAGCGACGCGGCCAGGCACGCCTGGACTTTGTGGCCTCAGAGGCCAACACTGCAGACGTCTTCACCAAGGCCTTGGCGCTTGGTGATCACCACAGGTTCTGTGTGCAGTTGGGGCTTGTTGAGGTAGGCCCTCGGTTGCTGTAGTCTTGTTGTTTGCTCTACTTGTTGTGCTTCCTATTTATATCCTAGTGAACTCTTGAACTGGCCTTGTGGCCACTTGCTTGCGCTCGGAATTTGTGTGGTGTCCTTGAGATCCACCCTGAGCTTGCCTTGTTTCTTGCTTTGACTGGTCTTGTGACCGTTTGTTCACCTTGCTTGCTTTGATGCCCCTCACTTAGCCTATGGGGGTGTGTCAAATGTAATTCTATGCTTGTAGGCTACAGTGAGTAGCACAATAGGGAGTACAGTTGTTAGGGTTGCATATTTGTACTTCCACACTTCCTAGTTTCATTCATTCCGTTGCATTCCTATTCTGAGACTAATTTCCCACCTGCCCACCCATTGGTGTTTGCTGTTATGTAGACATATATAAGACGAGAACGATGTACTACAACCCATATGAAATGATAACGCTGCCTTTGCAAGTCAGCCTAAGTAGACTTTCACAATTCCAATTATTACACTGGTGACCCACCAAATTAGAAACTCAAACTCCTCTATGCACTTTCCCTTAGGCTTCTCTGCACTACCCTACAAGCCTTCATCCGCAAGCGCAACACATGTAACATTTTATTTACTTATAGCTGTCAGAAGCACACATGCCTACAAGCACATGTGAGGTAGGGTGCTCAAAAAGCAATATAGTTTCTGCATTCCAGCAGGTCTTGTGCACCAGACCAGTAAAACAGTCCTTAGCTAGGATATACTGTAGGACAGCCTCAACACCACACAACACCATACTGGTACATACCCAAAACTACAACCCTTCTTCCTTTCACCATTCTATCTTCCTGCGCTTTCCCATCCATGATCCGTTCCGTCCTCTCCAAATCACAGTGCTCCTCCTCCTTACTATCTCCAAAAGGCGTTGCAGGTTTTGAGGCGCCTCCAACGTCGCCAAAGTGCTTCCTCCTGTGACCAGGCCATGCATGCGATTGCAACCCACTTCAGAGCAAGAGGGTATGATTGGCGATCGCCCTTCGTCTTCCCAGGAAGAGCAGCAGGGGGTATTTTAAAATGGAGGAGAAGGGGGATGGATTCTGCAAGGAAAGCGGATGAAAGCGGTGAGGAGGATGTGGGCTGGAGTGGAGCTGGAAAAGGGGGTCCGTGGAAGAAAGACGGTGGTCGGGAGTGGTGGAGTGTGGTGGTGCAGTGTGGGCTGGGTAGGGTGGGATGCTGAGACTGTAATACGAAAGAATAGGTGTCTGCCGGGAGGGTAGGGCAAATAGCGGGAAGATGTGAGGACGTAGGGTTGTGCTGATGTGAGGATGTGAGGGAGTGAGTCTGAGGATCTGGGCATGTGAGGGTGTGAGGATGTGGGGATGTAGGTGCGACCGGACAATGAAAGGAGGATGTAAAAGGGGTTTAGGGTTTTCTGGTTGAGAAGGGGTTTTATTGTGGTTGCATGGTGCACCGTTGGCAGATGTGGCTGCCCTGCACTGCACAGCAGGTTATATCCTGTCTTGAGTGAGAGCAGCCATCCCTCCACCATCGCTGCACCTGCAACTTCTTCTCCTGCTAATGCTGCTGCTAATGCTGCTGCTGCTGCTGCTGCAATGGCCTCACCACTACCCTAATGGAAGGCTTCTTCCTGCCCTTTCCTCCCTTCCCTTCCTCCTTCCTTCCCTCCATCCATCAATACCCGCCCTGATCATGTCCCCCCTCTTTGCCCCCACCCCACCCCCTCATTCAACCCGCTTCCCCCCCAAACAATCTGCATCGCCTCACAGTATCGAGCAACCGCACCCAGTGGATTTCTCAGGAGCTACAGGCACCTGGATCTTGGTCCACTGCCCTTCTGCTGGCTGCTCTTCCCGTTGCCCGTGCCGTGACGCCACACCCTGACTGCTGCTGCCATCCCCTCCCCTCCCGCCTCCTCCTCCTCCTGCTCCCCCTCCTGCTCCTCCTCCCCCTCCTCCTCCCCCTCCTCCACCTCCTCCTCCTCCTCCTGCTGTTGCTGGAGTTAAGCTGCCGTTAGGTCTGCCGGATCCTGTGGGTGCTGGCCGCATGGGTACTGTTGGACCATCCGACCTGGTAGGGAAAGGGTGTTAGAAACAAGAGAGAGTTAGGGTGCTTAGAACAAGAGGGTGTTAGGGTGTTAGAAACAAAAGGGTGTGTGAGAGGAGAGAGCAACGGAGAGCAAACTCACCACACCTGACACCATCCCACCTAACCACGTGTGCTTAAATCTGAGCAGCGTCCTCAAAAGAAAAGCCCCTTGAACCCTTCTCAATCACATTCAACCCGCTCACACCCACCCAAACCCACCCCACCCCACCCATCCGCACCTGAATCTGAGCGACGCACTCGAGGCAATGCGTTCGAGCGTCGTGACAATCAGGTTTGTCCCACTCACCCCATCCCATCCCACCCCGCCCATCCGCACCCCACCTCACTTAAACTCAACCATCCCCATCCCACCACACCCATCCGCACCTGAATCTGAGCGACGCACTCGAGGCAATGCCTTGGAGAGTTTTAACAATTTCCTCAAAGTCTGGCCGCACATCTGGGTCCCGGTCCCAACACCGCGTTATCAGCTTTGTTAGCTGGCTCGGGCAGTCCTTTATGGGCGGCCGTAGGTCCTGCGATGCAAAGTGGTGGTGGTTGGCGCAAGGGAAGGGGGGGGGAAGAGCAGGGAACGAGGAAGTTAGATGCGGAATAGAGGGCGGAGAAGGGGGGTGGGCTTGGGTTGGGTTGGGTTGCGCTGGGCTGGGTGGGTGCGCAAAGGTGACTCGTGATAGAAAGCAAGTTCTACTTGAAATGTCTCGCACCGGGGTGATTTTCCGATGTCCCGAGAGTGTTTGATGTCCCCAGAGTTGCATCAGGGGTGTGGAGCACAACTATCAAAGCAGCAGCAAGAGCAACAACAACAACAACAGCAGCAACAGCAGCAGCAACAACAGCAGCAACAGCAGCAACAGGTCTACTCACATCAGCGACAATGGCGTGTGCGAGTTGCACAAAGGACAGCCCTTCAAACGGCCATTGGGCCGTGCAGATCTCCCACAGCACGATGCCATAGCTGTACACGTCCACCTTCCGCGTGTAAGGCTTGTGGTCGATCATCTGATGCAGGGAGGAGAAAGGGGAGAGCAGGGATCAGGAGTGTTAGTCTCCCACAGATCTCCCAGAGCACGATGCCATAGCTGTACACGTCCACCTTTCTGGTGTACGCTTGTGGTCGATCATCTGATGCAGGGAGGACGTGCACAAGGGGTTGGGAAACAGGAAGAAGGAATCAGCGACCAGGTGTGTTGGTCTTATACTCATCCCCCACAGCACGATGCCATAACTGTACACATCCACCTTCCGCGTGTGCGGCTTGTGGTCGCTCATCTGAAGGTGAAACGGGAAGGGAAATCGGGGACCAGATGTGTTCCCCATGATAATCACCATGGCAAGACGGGCGCCTGTGCCTCTGTGTACCCAAGCCAAAAGCCCCTGAGGCAAGCCAAACGCTCTCCCCATTTCCCCACTCAAAACGAAGGTACTATTGGGGCACCTCACAACAACACAACCCACCTCTCGCGCCGCCAGATCCCCCACCCACTGCCCACCTCCGGCGCCATCCATCTGATTGTGCCCGTCTCAGCGGTCATGTTGCCCGGCTCCTGTGCCTCTGTGCGCGCCAGGCCAAAGTCCGCCACCTTCACACTCGCGTCTGCTGCCAGCAGCAGATTCGCCGACTTGAGGTCGCGGTGAATCACGTTGTGGCTGTGCAGGTACTGCATGCCCCTGGCGGAGGGGAAGGGGGGGAGAGGGGAAGAGGAGGCGGGAGGGAGAGGTGGGGGAAAGGGGAAAGAGGGGGGAGGGGGGAGGGCTTTTAAGATTGACGGCAGCAGATTCGCCGACTTGAGGTCGCAGTGAATCACGTTGTGACTGTGCAGGTACTGCATGCCTCTGGGGGAGCGAGTTATGAGGGGGGACAGAGAAAAGACGCGGTGTGAGAGAGGTAAGGACGAAGGGAGCATGACTTGATGTCGCGGTGAATCACGTTGTGACTGTGCAGGTACTGCATGCCTCTGGGGGCGGGAGGGAGAGGGGAGAACGGGGAGTAGAGAGGGAATAAAGGTGGGGAAAGAGGGGAGGTTGGGCTGAGGGAGGAACTAATGAATTTTTGAGACCGCTAGCAGCAGATTCGACGACTTGAGATTGCGGTGAATAACGTTGTGGTTGTGCTGTGCAGGTACTGCATGCCTCTGATGGTGGAATGGACAGGGGGAATGGGGGGGCGGGGAACGGAGGCGTGGGTATAAAAGGAGACAGAGAAAAGGCACAGTGTGAGAAATCGAGGGAAGAAGTGACTGGCAGGCAAAGGCAGGAACAGGCAGGCACGGGCATGAACGGGCAGGCACGGGCAGGAACACACATGACAGGGGCAGGAACGGGCAGGAACGCACAGGAAAGGGGCAGGAATGGGCCTTATCTAATGAGTTTGTGACCTTTCAACTTTCTTCTCATGGGATGCACGCGCACTGGCAGGCATGGGAAGGCACAGGAAGGCACGGGCAGGCACGGGCAGCCATAAGCATACCTGGCGACATCGAGGGCCATGGAGACGATCTGCTTGAGCGGCATGAACGGCACAGAGGGGCATGGGAAGGCACGGCACAGGCTTGCATGCATACATAGACGCATACCTGGCGACATCGAGGGCCATGGAGACGATCTGCTTGAGCGGCAGGCGGTTCTTGCCTATCCGGGACAGGAAGCCCTTGACTGTGCCGCCCTCTAGAAACTCCGTCACTATGGCCCACTTGGGCGGGTTGATGTACGCTCCTAGGAACTGGAGGAGGGGAGAAGGGGGGGGATGGCGGATGGGCATGGGGAGGTGAGGTGATGAAGGCTCGAGACGTTAAGGAGAAGGCATGGGAGGGGAAGCCCTTGACTGTGCCGCCCTCTAGAAACTCCGTCACTATGGCCCACTTGGGCGGGTTGATGTACGCCCCTAGGAACTGGTATCACAGGGAGGGGGGGGGGGAAGGGGGGAGAGGGGGAATCCCGACAGCGGGGTAGGGGAAATGGCGCAGATTGGAGAAAAGGGTGGGGCAGTAGGGGAAGGGAGGGAACTCTGTCCGTGACTATGGCCCGCATGGGCGGGTTGATGTACGACGCTAGGAACTGGGAGGGAGAGGGGGTAGATGGGGGTGGGGTGTGAAGGAGAAAGCACAGGGCAGCAGCAGGTCTTTGATTGTGGTGCTGCTGAGGAGTTCTGTCACTCAGAGCTCACTTGGGCGGGTTGAGAAGTGCGATGGGTGCAGGGGCGTGAGACGGAAGAGTTGGGAGGGAGTTGGAGGGGGAGCGAGAGCGGGAGGGGGAGGGGGAGCGGGAGAGAGAGCGGGAGGGGGAGCGGGAGGGGGAGGGGAGCGGGAGAGAGAGCGGGAGGGGGGGCAAGAGGGAGAGAGGGAGGGAGAGCGGGAGGGAGAGCGGGAGAGATAGCAGGGCCAAAAAAACGTTGTAAGTATGGTCCGAGAGCAACTGTGCCTTCGGGGACGAGGTGCAAGAATAGGAGGACGGGGGGGTGAGACGGGAGGGTGAGACGAAAGGCCACTCGTCAAGAATGCACACACTCATGCACGCACGCATGCACCCACCCACCCACCCACTCATCCAACCAGCCACACACGCACACACCCACGCACGCACGCACACACACACCCACGCACACACGCACGCACGCACGCACCTGCACGACGTTTGGGTGCTGCAGCTTGTGCCACACCGCCACCTCCTGCCGGAACCCCCTCTTGGCCCGATTCAAGTCATCCTCGCTACTAGCTTCCGGGAAGAGCAGGAACTTGACCGCTATTTGCTGCCCGCGATACACGCCTCTGTGCACCACGCCAAACGAGCCCGTGGCGACTAGCTCACCCAGCTCCACCTGGGAGGGAGGAGCGGGGGAAGAGAGGTGGGATGAGAGGGTTTTTGTGGCGCTGCGAGAAGCGATACACGCCTCTGTGCACCACGCCGAACGAGAGCCCGTGGCGACTAGCTCGCCCAGCTCCACCTGGGAGCGGGAAGTGGGAAGAGGGAAGAGGGTAGAGATGGAAGAGGGAGGAGATGGAAGAGGGAGGAATTGGAAGAGGGAGGAATTGGAAGAGGGAGGAGATGGAAGAAAGGGAGACGAAAGGGGGGGACGGGGAACGCTGAGGGTTTGAGGACTATGAAATGGGACAAGGAAGTGGACGGGGGGAGGGAAGGGGGGAGGAGGAGGAGGAGGAGGAGGAGGAGGAGGAGGAGGAGGAGGAGGAGGAGGAGGAGGAGGAGGAGGAGGAGGAGGAGGAGGAGGAGGAGGAAGAGGAGGAGGAGGAGGAGGAGGAGGAGGAGGAGGAGGAGGAGAAGGAGGAGGAGGAGGAGGAGGAGGAAGAACGGCAGAAATCCACCAAGGGTCAATAGGGGTAATGGGGGGCCGATGGGGGTGGTGTGGTTGGATGCAGGTGGGACAAGGGACAAATGGGAGCAACACCGCGGCACAAATCGTCAGCACTGTTTTCAAGCACAAAGAACAAGAGGCCTATAAATTCCCCATACCCCATTTCCTCTGCCTTCCTTCCCCGACCTTCATTCCCCCTTCCTTGCCTCCCCCCCCACCCCCTATTCCCCTGGCATCCAGGCGTCATCCCTCGCACAAAAGCCCTATCCAGAACCCCTGTATTTAGCCATGTGCAAAATTTAAGGGAAAAGGAAAGAAATCTCACACTTTGATTTAAACAGCATTAAGGCCTTCTTGGAAACCAACTACCACCATTCACACACACCTGCGACACTCTCAAGGTCCGTGCCGTTGTTTCCCGCGCATCTCCCTCCTGACCACCCTCTCGTCCACACCATACCCCAAACCTAACTCACCCTCCTAAACCTGAGAGAAACACTGCCTCAAACCTCTCAACACCTTCCTGTCAAACCTATCTCTCACCTAAACCTTCCTTTCCTCCCCCATTTCCCCCACATATTTACCTCCATTTCCCACCTCCTTCTCCTCCGTCCCCCCACCTAAGCCCCCCTGTTCCCCCTACCTCTGTAAAGTCTATGGCCCACGCGGTGGCCCCTCCATTCACGGACGACTCGTTTCCGCCGCTGTTGCTTCCCCCGCTCGACTCCCCGCGGCTGCCGTGGCTCCCCCTGCTCCCCCGCCCGCTCTCGTCGTCCCGCAACCGCTCCCGGTGCCGCGCGGAGGCTCCCCGCCCCGAACCTTTCGACCCGTAAACTCCGCCGGTCATCCCACCCCCTCTCACCCCCCTCCCCCTACACGCCAGAATCAATGGCCACCTCGCGCCGATTAACTATCGGTGCCACCTCGCGCCGCTCGCTCGTGTCTCTAATCTCCGTAGAAAAACTGCCGGGCCAACAGGACAGACCAATTGCTTTTGCCCCAGGGTTATGGGGCCAATTACGGAGGCTCCTAAAATGCGAAACGCGAGGTGTTCCTAAAAGCGGCGGCAAGCGCGGCCCGGATCGGACGGAGCGCCGCGGCGCTGCTACGAGACGCGGGTCGCAGCAGGGCAACAACCGCGTGAGCGCACGATACCAATATTTTTTGGCTTTTACGAAATGAGAGGTGTGACTGCCGATGAGATGGAACGGATTACGGACGAGCGGATGCCTGTAACGAAGCGCGCTCCGACGAATGGTAGAAGCAGCCGTTGGCGGTGCGTGCTCAGTTACCTGTTGGACGTTAAACGATGACTGTACTAGCTAAGATAATGGCTATGATAATCGTGACGACGAGTTGTTACTGCCGTGTTGTTACCCGAGCGTGCAAACGATGGTCGGTATGGTCCGACATGCGTGCGCGCCGAGCGAACCCGAAAAGCCCAACGAAAGTTGTGATCCAAAGGTCGAGCGCTGATCGTGACGGACAGTTGCAGACGCAGACTCGCAGTCCCTAACGCGGCGAATGAACTAACTAATGCTACCTGCCGAAAGCAGGAATCAGGTGCTGTCAATAGTGAGCGGAAAACGGAGAGATACGAGCATTACACAGCGCTACTATGAGAGTACAGGAAGATTTCGAAATGCGGTTTCAGAGGAGACGCGGATGTATTAGCTAGCAGCGGGCCTGTACCAGACTCGGATAATGTTTGCTCTCCACTGGCTGCGGGTAAACCATAGCCGACTTGGCATGCTGCGTGTGATAACACAGAAACAGCGCTGCTCCGATGTCTGGTTAGGTGATGGGAGGTGAGCCAGAGGAGGAATGAGTCAGCATGGCTGGTGCGTGGAGGATGGAGGCAAGGTTGAGGGAGAAGCTTCTATCAAAGCTTCTAGCCTTGCTTGAGGTGTCTGTTCGGTTTACTTGGCCTCTCGAACTTTGAAGGGTCAAGCAAACCACGCCTCTGTCCGTCCATGCAGCATGGGAAACCCTAAAAGCTGTTCAATAGGGCCATGAGAAGTTGGAAAGTCGCGGCCGCCACGCGTGATCATGGGAGAAAATGGAGAACACCAGGGGAAGAACGGAGGGAGCCAGGACACAAATATCCTATCTCTTGATAGTTGGTAATATAAACACATCAAAAAGCACTTCCAGATCTTTTATGCTCATCTGTTTATGTAAGTACAAAAGGGACTCTGATTCGCTTTGCTCTACTGGGTACACAATCGTTGGAGGGGGGCAGGTTGGTGTTGGTGGCGCTCTGGTTACTACTTAGATGGACTGAGGCAGTCTATGAATAAATACATCCAGGTTGGTCTCCGTTGAATGCCCCTCCCTCAAGGACACCTGGTCAACAAGTCAGAAACAAGCCTTTTCATTCTCGAGTGGGGGGAGTTGGCTTGCGCGCCTCTGAAATTCGACCCTTGGAAAGCATTGTAAACCTGCAACAGCAAAGGGGAAAATTGGCAGGAAATAGCAAGGCCTGAAGATGTAAATTGCTACAGAATCCAAGATTGTTGGCACATGCACATCCGTGAATACAACCAGGTTCATGAACCAGCAAATCTCCCAACATTTTCCGTGTTAGTGTGCATGCGCGGGCGCCACACATCAACGTGTGACCTGATACGTAGAGGGCCGGTGAGAACACGGAGAGAATTACTGTAGAACCTGGATTAGTGATTCATTCTTACTCGCGTGGTCTCAAATTACTCGAGTGGCCACCAAATTTGGTGATAATTACTCGAGTGGCCACGCCTGGGGATTCCCTGGTTTGTTTTTACCCGGCGCATTACCCTACAAGGATTTGTACCCCCGAGACCTCTGTAATGATTAATGCGCGATCTTCAATATCCGAAATTTATGATCGTGACCCCATATGACCGCGCCTGATTGGACGCGCATTGCAAAACAAAGCACCGCGCATATAATCGACCAATCATGCGCGGTCATTTAATGTCCCACACATTGACGCCTGGGCATTGCAGTTTATGATCGCGGAAATATATGATCGGGCACTAATATATGATGTGCTCGACCATTAATAACCGCGCATGATTGGTCGACTATATGCGCGTCCAATCAGGCGCGGTCATATAGAGTCACGAACATAAATTTCGAATATAAATCATCACGCGAAAACATCCATTATAAATCATCGCGTAAATTGAAAATCGCGCAATTATCAATACAGAGGTTTCGGGGATATCAACCCTTGTAGGGTAATGCGCCGGGAAAAAAAATGCAAGTAAGAATGAATCACTGATCCAGGTTCTACAGTAATTCTCTCGAGAACACGCCTTTCCTTGAATATTGTTCAAAATTGTTTACAAAATTGTTCAACCTATACCTCCTAAAGCTCTTCCTCATAAACAGCTATTGCACACTCCTGATATACTTTTATTGGGTTGCGTAGCAACCCTTTATATTTGGTTTCACATTTTGAGGATATCATTTGAAGAGTGTATTTACGCACTTTTTGGAGCTCCCGTTTTGAATGTTTTGAAACTATGTTCAAACGGATGCCTCAAATAATGGATAAAAAACACCCTTGAATGAGATCCCCATATGTAAAACCAAATACCGGAACGCACGTACGTATCATGTTGAAACCATGAACTTGCTCGACCGTCCCAACCTCGTCGATAAATACGGCGGATCGTACGGCCGAGCATAAAATTATGGCATCAACATGAACGAATGAACAACAAGGTATGACGTAGAATGGATGCTTCAAAATGAATGTTAAAATGCATCATGCAGCAACAGAGGTTGATGGGGTCGTTGAAACAGCGGAAACCCGCTGCCCCAAAGACGATTAACAACCTCTAATTGCATACATAACACACAATAACACCACACTTTGAAACACACATCCCACAAACACGAATGCAAACGCACGTAAAAAATGTACAACACCACGTAACGGTTGTGAACGGATCATGAGCAACCCCACAGTGAAACAAACAAAACGAACAGACATGCAACCCTACAGTGAAACAAACACAACAAACAGACATGCATACACACGCAAACAAGCACAGAGAGATACAGATACCGTAATAAACACACAACCGTCATAAATAAAGTTCAGAATAAATAATTCCTAACCTATCCCACCTTATCCTCCCTACAACCCTCCCTCCCTCCTTCCCTCATCTCCATCCCACTCCCTCATCTCCCTTCTCAGCTCACGCACGCGCCCTGCACAAAGCAAAATCAGTGAAGTCAACACACACACGCCCAGGCAAAAACAGGGAAGTCAACACACACACGCCCTGCACAAAGTTAAAACAGGGAAGTCAACACATACACGCCCTGCACAAGGAAACAAAACACACCTTGCACAAAAATCAGTGCATGTTCCTACACTGTGTACAAGAAAGCAAAAATAGGATACCGCAACACACGTGCTCTCTCATGCACTCTCTCACGCGCACTCTCACGCTCTCTCTCACGCGCTCTCTCACGCGCTCTATCAAGGCGCACTCTTAGGGGCACTCTCAGCCGCTCTCTTTCGCGCTCTTTTTCCCGCACGCTCACGCGCATTCTCTCTCTTACGTCCTTTCTCTCGCGCACTCTCACGCACATTCTCTCTCTCAAACGCCCTCTCACGCGCACCCTCACACGCTCCCTCACACGCTCTCTCACGCGCTCTCACACGCGCTCTCTCACGCGCTCTCACACGCGTTCTCTCACCCGCTCTCTCATCCGCACTCTCACGCGCTCTCTCACGCTCCCTCACGCGCTCCCTCGCGCACTCTCAGGCACACTCTCACGCACTCCCTCTCGCGCTCTCTTTCGCGCACTCTCACCACAATCTCTCTCTCGTGCACTCTCACCACATTCTCTCTCTCGCGGACTATCACACGCATTCTCTCTCTCGCGCTCTCACGCGCACTCACACGCGCTCCCTCACGTGCTCTCTCATGCTCACTCTCACGCGCACTTTCACGCACTCTCTCCTGTGCTCTCTCACACGCTCTCTCACGCGCTCTCATGCGCCCTCTCGCGCTCTCTCACGCACTCTCTCACGCGCTCTCTCAAGGCACACTCTCAGGCACACTCTCACGCACTCTCTCTCGCGCTCTCTCTCGCGCATTCTCACCACGTTCTCTCTCTCACGCGCACTCTCACGCGCTCTCTCACGCGCTCTATCAAGGCGCACTCTTAGGGGCACTCTCAACCGCTCTCTTTCGCGCTCTTTTTCCCGCACGCTCACGCGCATTCTCTCTCTTACGTCCTTCTCTCGCGCACTCTCACGCACATTCTCTCTCTCAAACGCTCTCTCACGCGCATTCTCTCTCTTACGTCCTTTCTTTCGCGCACTCTCACGCACATTCTCTCCCTCAAACGCTCTCTCACGCGCAGCCTCACATGCTCCCTCACACGCTCTCTCACGCGCTCTCACACGCGCTCTCTCACGCGCTCTCACACGCGTTCTCTCACCCGCTCTCTCATGCGCACTCTCACGCGCTCTCTCACGCTCCCTCACGCGCTCCCTCGCGCACTCTCAGGCACACTCTCATGCACTCCCTCTTGCGCTCTCTCTCGCGCACTCTCACCACATTCTCTCTCTCGCGGACTATCACACGCATTCTCTCTCTCGCGCTCTCACGTGCACTCACACGCGCTCCCTCACGCGCTCTCTCATGCTCACTCTCATGCACACTTTCACGCACTCTCTCATGTGCTCTCTCACGCGCTCTCTCACGCGCTCTCATGCGCCCTCTCGCGCTCTCTCACGCACTCTCTCACGCGCTCTCAAGGCGCACTCTCAGGCACACTCTCACGCACTCTCTCTCTTGCGCGCTCTCTCTCTCTCGCATTCTCACCGCGTTCTCTCTCTCACGCGCTCCCTCACGCGCTCCCTCACGCGCTCTCTCACGCGCTCTCTCACGCGCTCTCTCACGCGCTCTCTCACGCGCTCTCTCACGCACTCTCTCATGTGCTCTCTCACGCGCTCTCACGCACTCGCTCTCTTGCGCTCTCTCACGCACTCTCTTGCGCTCGCTTACGCGCTCTCTCACGCGCTCTCTCACGCGCTCTCTCACACGCACCCTCACGCGCACCCTCACGCGCACCCTCACGCGCACCCTCACGTGCTCTCTCATGCGCTCCCTCACGCGCTCTCTCATGCGCTCCCTCACGCGCTCTCTCACGCGCTCTCCCACACGCTCTCATATGCGCACACGCTCTCCCTCGCGCTCCATCTCTTTCTTCTTCGAATGAAAGTGCAATGCAAGTGGAGATCAATCGACACATTGGAGAGAAAAAAAAAATCAAAACAAAACAAAACAAAACAGGACGGAAATTTCAGAAGGGGGAAGGGAGGACGGAAGGACCAGGAACGCACCTGCTAACCACGGTGCCTGAGAAAACAACCCGCGCTCGCGCACCAACCCGCGCTTGCGCTCGTGCACCTGTCGCCGGACGAGACGGCGGAGAGGGAAGGAGAGGCGACGGCGAGGAGTGGGGAGAGGCGACCGCGGGGAGGAGGAGAGGCGACGGCGGGGAAGGAGGAGATGCGACGGCGGGGAGGAGGAGAGGCGACGGCGGGGAGGAGGAGAGGCGACGGCGGGGAGGAGGGAGGCGACGGCGGGGAGGAGGGAGAGGCGACGGCGGGGGGAGATGCGACGGAGGGAAGGAGGATAGGCGACGGCGGGGAGGAGGGAGGCGACGGCGAGGAGGAGGGAGGCGACGGCGGGGAGGTAAGGGAGAGGAGATGGCGGGGTGGATGGGACGGAGTGATTGTGAGGTGGGTTGGAGAGGTGTCAGCGGGTAGTGAGGGAGAGGATACGGCTGGATGGGAGCGAGAGCGACGGCCAGGTGGGAGAAGAACTGGCGAGAAGGGGTGGGGGGGAGGGGAGGAAAAGGAGTAGGAGCAGAGCAGGTTCTTGTCGAGAAGATTCAAGAACAAGAACCAAGAAAAGACAGCGCCGGATTCGGGCTGTGAAAGAGACGAATGCCAGCGCAGAACGAGAAAAATTCTGCCAGCAGAGCGAGAAAATTTAGGGCGTGTTACATTTTTCATTTTTTTCGTTCGGACGGCTGGCCGTCCGGACGATTGTGTGGTTACTAAACTCGTTAAATCTCGGCATTGAGTTCGTCAGCGTCTAAATGACGTCGCATTCTTCGTATTGCCTCCTTACAACATTAAATTGGTCGCAACGCGACCGTACGACGTCGCAATCTTCGCATTCAGCGACTTCAAAAAATGTAGCACGCCCTTATTGTCAGAGTTATATGACATAGCTACTGTAGGCTATAGTGGGGTAGCACATATGGGGTACAGTTGCCTAGGGTTTGCCTTTTGTACCCAACTTTCACTTAGTCATTTCATTCCTGTTTTTCTTGATTCACACTTATGCCAGCACAGGAGGAGGGCATTCAGCGATGCCAAACGCCCAACCCGCTATAATAACCTGAAAGAACAATGGAGTTAAGTTGTTGGTGAAAACAATTCATGCTTATAAAAATCACAAAAAGAGCATATATGTCCACGCAGTTCCACAAATAATTAACAACTTTGAGGGAAGCAACATCTATAGAACATTTCGCTTCATAATAGGGAACTATCGAGCCTGACATGTTTTAAGTAAAAATGAAGAACTTAATGAATTGCTTCTATAAGCAAAGTATAATTATAATGTATGTACTCTATCTTAATGTTTCTAACATAATGTTTCTAATTCAAAGGATACAACTCTACGCAACCCTTCCGACGTAAACGTCGAGTCTTGTTTTTATCCCTATTTGTGCGTGAAAAATATACATTTTCCTGTGTATGTCAATACGTTATCCACTTTAGTTACGCACGTGTGTTGCGATCAGAAGTTAATCGTAGCCAGGATCACCTCAGGAAGGTTCGCACACTATTGATTTAGCGGTGGTGGGCCCGTGACCTCAATAGCAGAGTGAATGTAAAATGCTTGAGATGATAAAAACATGCAAACATAGAACTATAAATAAGAGTACAAAGGAATACCAATCGACCTAGCTAGCCATTTACTCTGATGGGTACATTCCCTTATGAAACCATGCGACTCCATACAGTTACAAAACTGTTCGGGCAGTAATCTTCGCCATTGCTGCTGCCTGATGCTGTCTGCCCGACCGTCCAGATGCTTTCGTAACCGTGCAACCCTTCGCGTCACTTCCGCCTTGTCGTCTTCAACCTCGGTAGTGCGTGCTTCGCTTGCTACTGTGAGGAGTGCACAGTAATGTTTCAATGATTACTGCTCGTAACAACGTGCGCGCTTAAAGAAGTTGATATTAAATTTGGGTTACCTCTGATTTTTAGCATATAATATATATCTCTACTTGCATAGCTTATGTGTTGAAGCATCTGTTTACAGTTGAAAAGAATGTAAAGGAGATAACATGTATACACATAGATAGTAGCTGGATTCCAGGTGTTACGAACTGGTTTCACGTGACTGATATGAAAACCCGAGTCCTTTCTTAAGCAGAAACACTGAGACACTTCCTCGCCGCACCTTCTTCCCTCGTCAACCATCCAAAGCGCTCCATCGACGTGGACTCACTTAGTTCATGAACTCATCAGGCCAAGCTGCATCGATCTCGAAAAGCAAAACAAATCTGACCGTTCATTTGATAAGGAAAACCATGCTCCATGGAGATTTTCCGAGGTGTAGGCATACACTCGCACACAACCGCATCGCACATTCGCATGACACTGTATTCCAGAGGACAGGAGTGCAGAGTATCCCAGTGAACGATGATACCAGATCCCAGAGGTCAGACTCGAAATTCAGTTCCAGGATTCTAGAAAGCATAGCAGCACACCAGACTTGTCAAGCTACGTAATCTGTGGGCATGGCTACCGTCGCTGCACCCTCATCCAGCGTAGCCTGCCTCTTGCAGAAGTCGGTCTCGCAGAAGCAAATTGTGGCTGCTCATTCTGCTGGTGAGAATATTTTTAACCACACTGGTTGCCATTGTCTGAGTGACGTTTGATCCCCTGACGTCTGGCACGTACGGTACAATTGTCCTTACCACCCACCAGCGATCCATGTGCTCCTGCAGGTCTCCCGTTGCTCCGCGCGTCCCGCGTGACATGCTCCGCTGAAAGGCCTCACAAGAAGGCTGCTCTTGCCGTCTCCACTACCTTACTAGCCACGGCAACCGCCGCTCTGCCGTCCGTCGCCGCTGTAGAGACCATTTTAGGAGGCGAGGGAACCGGGTTGCCTCTAGGCCTGAGCGACAATAACCTTACATGGGTTGTCGCTGCGGTGTTCACAGGAGTCTGGGCGCTATTCTTTGTGTACCAGAACAAGCTTGCTGAGGATGACGACGACTCTGGCCTTGGTTTGTAAATAATGTAACCTAGTTTCACCGTATCTGAAAAGTTGTGATCACAGCAAATGGGGAAACATTTCACTTTCCAACCCCAACCTCCCTTTCTTTCCCCTATTCCGCCTAAATTTTCCAGCCATCTATTTTTCCGCTCTGCCAAAATCATAGCTAGTCATTCCAGTAATCAGCCTCTTTGTTGCAAATATCTACTACCGGTAGCATTTGTGGTACTACTCTGCCAGAAATTCACAGCAGCATTGCGAACAAACCTGTCAAAAAGAGCCTGGGGAACATCGAAGGCAGCGTCATTGAGCCTGATTGCCATGTCCGCTTGATTCAGCCTCTTCACACACCCAAAGGCAACCTGCTCATGGGAGAAACAATAGGCAGGGCAGGAAGGGGGAGAGCAGAGGGTGGGGAGTGGAGGGGCGAAAGGGGGAGAGGGTGGCAAAGCGATGGTTATGAGTTAAGAAGGCGAATGGGGTGCTGCTGTGCAGGTCCAAAAGAGGCCTAGAATACACAAGCAATAAACACGAAGAGAATAGGGCTGAGAAACACACGAGGGTGGGTTTGCAGTTAACCAATTCAAATGGGAGGTTGGTTGTACCTTGCTATACAATTGAAGCAGAGTGCGGGAAAGAAGGGGAGGAGGCAGGCCTAGAGGCAGCAACTGATGGATGGCATGGGAGACAGAGGGCAGGTGCAGGTCACGAGCCACCCGTTACCATTCCTCAGGGGACACGAGAGAGGCTAGGGAGGAGGTTCGGGAGGGAGGGAGAGGGTGAGTGAGGGAGGAGGAAGGAGCGGCGGAATCAATGTGCAGAATGGAGTCATATTTGATGCTCTCTAGGGAACATGCATGCACCTGGAAGGGAGGGGAGAGAAATGGAGGAGGAGGAGGGGATGAGAGAGAAGGGAGGGGAGAGAGTGGATATGGCAGGGAGAGAGACCAGTGGGGAAGTGGGAGGGGGAGGTGGAGAGGAAGGATACGAAGTGAACGGCGTGCGGATTATGCAGAATGGAGAAGGGTGTGTTATGCAGAGCGGAGCAATGGCAACAGCAGCACGATTTGCAACTGCAACAGAATCGTCAACTTGCGACGAAATCGACAACCCCAACCAAAGTGCTGGTTGGCAGTTTCTCACCTGCTGCACAAAAACAGACGCTTCCCTAGTAGCCCGTGCATGCTCCCGTGCCACCTGTGCTGCTCGGCCTGTACCACACACATACTGCTGGAACAGCACAGCCGCAGCAGCAGCTGATGTGCTGCTGCTGCTGCTGCTGCTGCTGCACGCAAGCTGAGTAGGCTCCTCCAGCATGAGATGGCAGACGTGGAGGAAGGATCGAGCAGCACGCAGGTATGGATTGCTGAGAAGCGCCACCTTGCGCCACTGCCCACTCGTCAACAACCACAGCAACGCGTCCTCCTCCCTCTCCTCCTCCTCCTCCTCCTCCTTCTCCTCCTCCTCTTTCCTCTCCTTCTCCGTTTCCTCCCCAGCCTCTCTCGCCTCCCTCTGCCGCCTTTTATCCCCTTCTCCAGCGTTATCGATTCCTGTATGATTGGCTTCAGATCTAACAGCAGCAAGAGCAGCAGCAGCAGCAGCAGCAGCATTAGCAGCCTGCGAGCGTGTGTTTGTGTGCATGGCTAAGGCGATGCTAGCCCAGGATACACCAGCAGGCGGAGTGTCCACAGAGCACAGCAGTGCATGTGACGATGCTGGGACAGGGAGATTGTAGTGGGGATGGAGGGCACGGCATAGGGCGATAAAGAGCGTGGGGAGTGGGGCGTGGGAGGGTGGAGGGGGAATGACGAGTTTTTAACCAGAAACGTTGATGAATGCGATAGCGCGACAGGATGAACATGGTTAGATGGACTGGCATGGTCCAATAACCACGGCTTGTGTTTTGATGACACACAAAACAAAGGCAGATGGGGCAACGACAGCACAAGGAACGAGGCCCTTTGGTTAGTTAGCACCAGGGACAGGCGACATTCAGAAGTCTCACAACACAAACCTTGGAATTGCGAGTACTGCACCAAGGGGAGAGAATGCACTGGGACCGGCGGCAGCGCGAGAGGGTGGCAGAGAGGCGAGGAGGCGAGGAAGGACCCTGAGAGGGACGACGCCTGGGCTTGGATGAATGCAGAGTCTCCGGAATGGTAGGCGAATATGAGATACTGCGCCTGGGCTGCTGTCAAGAGAGCTGAAAGCTGAGGGGTTTCTGGGCGGGAGGTAGGGGTGGCATGGGGGGAGGGTTGAATGGGAAGAGGAGCGCAGGAAGAAAGGGCGGAAAGAGGGAAGGAGAAGCGGGTAAAGGAGGGAATATTGAAAACGGGGATATGATAAGAGGAGGTTTGGAGAAAGGCTGTGTTGTTTGAGTTGAGAGGGGTTAAAGAGGAAAGAAACAGAGTGAGGATGCAGAGAGAAAGACAGTGTGTGCTGAAGAGGGCCGGTCAAGAGAAGGAAAACAAGTCACAAAGTGGAGGGAGTGGTGTGAAGAGAAGGCATGAAAAAACATTGAGGAAGAATGCATGACAGTGGCGAGTGAAGACATCAGAAAAAAATGGCGAGAAGAAACACACCTGAGAGCTCAAAACTAGGGAGCAACAAAAAGGGGGAAAAGAAAGAAAGAAAGAAAGATAGAAAGAAAGAAAGAAAGGAAGAAAGAAAGAAAGAAAGAAAGAAAGAAAGAAAGAAAGAAAGAAAGAAAGAAAGAAAGAAAGGAAGAAAGAAAGAAAGACGACAGCACTTCGCCCAGTCTACATACTCAGAACCCGATCAGGATAGGACATTACAGAGTACTGAGCGAAAAGAATACGCTGCTGGTGCTGTACGTGTGCTCTTCTCCCCTCATCGCCCTGCTCCTCTCCACCCCAGGGATGTGCGTTGCCATTAAACCACCTCTGCTTCCACCACCACCACAGCGGCTTAAGCCCACGCAGTGGATAGTGGGAACGAGCAGGATACTCGTGCTGCTGCTGCTTCTGCTGCTGCTGTGTTTGTCTCTTTTGCGTGGCCGGACCCTGTACGACAAGTGCTCGCATTTCCTCCTCACTCACCCCCTTCCGCTGTAGAAGCACCCGTCCAGACGGAGACAGCACCACAGGACAACACACATCACCACCTGCTCCTGCTGCTCCTTCAGCTCCCCCCCCCCTCCTGCTTCTCCTGCTGCTGCTGCTGCTGCTGAAGACGCATTTGCAACTCCAACCGTAGGCATCAACCTGTCCAATCCAAGCCCATCCCCAGCACATGGAAACGCCAAGCTCCCTTCGAAACTAGTCCTGTCCTCCTCATATCCTGCAGCACCAGCACCAGCAGCAGCAGCACCACCACCACCATCACCGCCTGTACTATCATCTTTCGTGCCTTCAGCCCCCTCGCCTTCTCCTTCCTCCTCCTCTTCCTCCTCTTCCTCCCCATCCTCCCAGTTCCCCCCCCTATCACCAACCTGATCCACCACCCTGCCGCCCTCAACAACCACTGGACCCCTTTCCACCAAGTGGCCCTTGAAAGCTCTCGAAAGAAAGTCATGAAAGTCATGAAAGTCATGCATGCTGTGCCCTACCAAACGGTCATTGTGCGTTCTTCTTGAAAGCGGCCCACGCTCACTGTGCTGCTCCACCAAGCCTCCACGCACTAGACTCCACTGCAGCTGTGAGGCTAGGAGCAGGGAGATGCGGGGTAAAGTGCTCTTGTGCACCTGCTGCTGCTGCTGCTGCTGCTGCTGCTGTTGCTGCTGCTGTGCCTGCTGCTGCAGAGGACGTAAGGGCTCTCGCTGTGGCTTCGGCTGTGGCTCATGACTCTCCTGCCCCTCTCGCATCACCACTCCCTCACTCTCCTCCTTCTCAGCCACCTCATCCTTTGTCTTCTCCTTGTCATCCCGCTTCTCCTCCTCCTCCTCCTCCTCCTCCTCCTCCTCCTCCTCCTCCTCCTCCTCCTCCTCCTCCTCCTCCTCCTCCTCCTCCTCCTCCTCCTCCTCCTCCTCCTCCTCCTCCTCCTCCTCTTCCTCCTCCTCCTTCTCCTGCAGCAGCCGTGTACGCAACCGCACACCACCTTCCCTCTGCACAGCACCTAGACCTCCTTCTCTTGCGTCTGGCTGCTGTGGCTGCTGTGGCAGTGGTCTCTCCATTTCATTCCCCTCAATAACTTCTCCGCCGTCCGTAACGTTTGACTGCTGTGGGCTCTGTAGGAGCTGTTGTTGCTGCTGCTGCTGCTCGTGCTGCTGCTGCTGCTCGTGCTGCTGCTCAAGCGCATGAATCAGCGCCGGTGGCGGATGGGAGAACACAGACATCAGGCGGTATGCAGCCTTCAACACACTGCCACCACCGCCGCCGCCGCTGCTGCTGCTGCTGCTGCTACCACTGCCACTGTCACCATCAGCAGCAGCAGCAGCATGAGTGGTGGCAGCAAGCACGAAGCGAGCACGGGGGTTCATGAGCATGCGCTGCCCCACCGCCCTCTTCACACACTCCTCCACCGAACGGCTCCCCCGACACGCTGGACACGTGGCGGCTCCTGATTGGCTGCTTGAAGGCTGGGGAGGCGAGAGGGGGATGTGGAGGGCGGAGAAGAGAAACGAGGGGGGTTGGACATTGACGTGGGCTGAAATCTCAAATTCCAATCGACAGAATCACTGGAATCACTGGAATCACTGGTCGGAGGGTTCTTGACAAGCCATGTGTAGCGTGGGCTGAAGATGGCGGGATTGCAAATTGCAAATCGCCCTAGATAGATGTTCCGCTTATTGAGGCTGTTGGTGTTGAAACGTCTCAAGTTTTGAGACATCTCAAGACGACGCAGACATGCTTGCGGATGCGAGATGGGCTCACCGCCCCCCACCCACCCACCCACCTGCAAGAGCACAGCAGCACTGCGCCTCACTAGTGTCTTGAGCCTCTCCCGGGCGACCATGGCCGCAACGGGGGGAGAGGGGCGCAAGCGAGCCAGGCATGCTGTAAAGTGCTGCTGCAGGTGGCACTGGGGAAGGGGGAACTGCGGGAGTGCAGGAAACAGGGAAGAGAGGGAAAGGGACAGTAGGGGCGGAGAGGTTAAGTGGGAGGATGGAGCGGAGAAGAGGGGGGAGTGAAGGGGAAGCGGGGAAGGGGGGAGCTCTTGAGGGCTTCTAGAATTAAGAAAAGAACAAGGAAAAAAAATCAACGAGAGAGAAATGAGAAATAAATTCGCTCAAGAGTACAAAGGACTTAGCGTGCGGAAAGAATTGCTTTGGCAGGTACTGGTACTGGCTAGCGAGGCGTGACAAAGAGCTTGGCTAGTCACTTATACGCACACATAGAGCCGGTATGAAAAAGAGGGGGAGGGAACGTGTTTTAGAGCTCACACGCCCTTACCTTCGAAAGCAGCTCTGACTGTTTACTCGTGTGGACGAGCAGCAGCAGAGAGTCAAACACACTGGACAGCCATGCATGCATGTGCTGCTCAGTCCCTGCTGCCCCGCCTCGCCCCATCCCTCCACTCCCCACTCCTCTGCTACCCTCCCCTGTGGATCCTCCATGTCCCCCCTGAGTTTCAAACATGGTGCTACTGGCACTGCTGCTGCTGCTGCCTTCTGTGGGTGTGCCAGGCCACCTGTTGGAGCAGGGAGATGACTGAATCTGTGTGCCACGCCATGCCAATCAATGTGTTGCCATGTCATGCCATGCCACACCATTCCATGCCACGCCATTTGATGTCAAACCATGTAGCATCGAGGAAAAGGACGAGCAAGCTGTCACTGTATGGACACGGGCACGGGCATGGATGCATTGGCATGTTGAAGGGTTTGTGTGTGTGCATGGGCATGGGCATGTCCATGTGCATGTGCACATGCATGTGCGCGTGCACGAGTGCATGCGCAAAACATATTTCAACTCATTCGAAAGGCATTACAGGCTTCCCCAACAACCTTCTACTCACCACATCCCACCACACCCCACCACACCACACCAGCGACCACTTACCTTGACACGAGTGAACTGCGCTGGCAGTGCATCAAACACCCCCCCACCTGCCCACTCCTCACCATCGCACGGTCCTGCTTTCGACTCATCCCCCCACCTTCCTCCCCTTCCTCCTCCTCCTCCCCTCCCTCTTCTTGCTGCTGCTCCTACTCTTCCTACTCCAGCTCCTTGGGAAGATACGGGTGACCAATCAATGACTGCCACGTCGCCCACTTGGCCATCAAACAGATCGGAGAACCTGACGCCCTCCATCTGCTGGTATCTCCTCTCGCTATAAGCACAGGACGGGCTGGAAAACCCTTCTCCAACGCCGCTCCCATCGCTTGTATCACGGCTGTTACTGGGCCTGTCATGACTGTTTGTATCCCTGCTTCTGCTGTTGCTGGCACTACTACTACCACTATCACTACTAGTGTTGCCCGTGGCAAGGACGAAACTGGCATTGACAGCAAAAGGAGCTGTCGCATTAACAGCAGCAGCAGCAACAGAATCACCAGCAGCATCACCAGCGGCAGCAGCAGCAGCAGCCATAGAAGAAGTTGACCAGATTAATTGCAGTGTGAGGCGTGAGGTCACAGCCACAGCATCACATGCACACATGGAGAGCAGGCGAGCAGAGAGAGAGCCCTGCTGGGCGCACAGGGTGCAACGCACGGGGCACAGCGCACGGGAGGGTGCGGGGGAAGGAAGTGTGGGGGTGGTGAGGGGAGAGAGAGTGCGGGAGAGTGAGGGAGGAGGAGGAGCTGCTTCTAGCAAGTCACATCAGCCCAACTAGGCGGGATGTCTCCATCCGACAGAACTTAGGAAGGACGGACAGATGGACAGACTGACAGACGGACTGATGGACAGACGGAGAGGCACACATGAGTGAGATGGTGTGATTGATGAGCGTTCTCAAGAGTGACACTCGCAACGGATCTCCTCAGGCAGAGCACCGAATCAGTCGCACCAGACGACTTCACAGTCAAGACACACCGAGGAAAACAACTCAGAATTCCACTACGAAAGAAAGTCACCGCGCTCTAGCTCACCTCAGCTACAGCAATCATATCCGCCGTAACGGGCGGAAAGGCGCTCCTCTTGCAACGCGGCGCCGTCTCCGCGCCCTCGCACCGCTCGCTCTCACCGTCTGCGGCCCCCCGTTCCCCCTCCTCCTCCCGCGCATCCCCATCGCCATTCTCGCCGGTTATCCCGGGCGCTGCTTCGTGCCGCGCCGCGCCTCCTTCGTCCATCTCCCTGCCTGCCCGGTATCCTACCAGCAGGACAACCATGGCTGACGTCAGCGATAAGACGAGAAGGATCGCGGCGATCCGTCGCCGGCGACCTGGAGCTCGTCGCAGCAGCGGTCGCATGACGGCGACAGACGATTGTCGCATTGCGCAACGGCTTCCGCATAACGCGGGAAAGAGTCGCCTGCTGGAAGCGCAGAGCAGGCGGTCAAGCTACGAAAGCAAGTGTCGAAGCACGTGGAAACTGGATCAAATCCTCTGGTCTGTGATTCGCCGGTCTTCGCCTATTCCTTTCAAACTCCAGGCACCTTGAACCTTGAACTCCCATCCATGTGGTCAGCAGTCACAGCTTCCAGTGCGAACTCCAGCAATTATGGCCAGGGTTGGGCTGCTTGATTCAACAATGCTAAGTGGTTTCATCGAAGTCCACCTAACCACAGATAAGGGCGTGTTTTAAGTAAGAGTTCGATCGTCTCTTTGAACCGATCCCGACTGCTGTCAAACATTGTAGCGTATGGTTACCGTACTACTGTGTTAGCTTTGTGCACGACCAAGGAAACTGGTGATTGTCAGATCGATCGCCTCTGCAGTGAAGACCGATCGTGAGATTGAGAAGGAAAAAACCTACCGTCACGAAAACATTTCGCGACCTGCAGAAAAAATCGTGTGAAAGTGCTACCGGGGCCAAAAGATTCGACAATACATTGACGAGCAGGGTATTCAAATTTTCTGAGTTCGAATATCTAAGTCACACACTGTCGCTATACTCCAGGTGGTTCTACCCTAGGGCGGTCGTGGTACAGTTTCTTTTGGCGGATCGAAAATGCAGTGAGCCGAGGATCTCCCGACAAGGGATCGGTTTACAGCCGCGATCCTTAGATTTTCTAACCTGTAACACGCCCTAGCTTCACGTTTGCCCAGCGCACTGTTTCCGATTTTTATATGTACCCTGCCCTATTTCTAGCCATTTCAGTTAGACACCTATTAATAAGGGCTATGGATAACGCCTACTGCTGGATCCCCAAATTTTAATCAGCCGAGTCTGAGACCATTACCCGTAGTATGAAGTCTGTTGTTCTGTTGCGAATCCCATTGCGAAACATCCCTTCATTCTGGCAGTCCGGAAACACACGCTGCTTTAAACGAATGATGTCCCGAAAAACCCTCGGTCTAAAAAAACGAAAGGGTGCATACCCACGTGCGCAAGCGGCCGTGAAAATAGACCGATAGAAAATAGCGGCAGTTAGGTGTCACAAGATGCGGAAGTGAGTACGAAACTACTCGAAGTCTTCTGTACTGAAAGTATTGTTGCGGTCGATGGCTTTTTCTAGGTGTCACTTGACTGAAGTTTTGCTCCAGGAACACGGTTTCAAACCTCGCTATGACGACGTGCCTCCTCTATTAAGTCATTCGTTTCAATCTTTCTTCCATCTGTTTGTAAAGTTTCCTCAAGTATATCTCGCAATTGTTTGTCACCTCCTCCCTCGATTCCTACAAAAGAGGTTCCATAACATCCTCAGATCACAGCCTCGCCGCACCAACACTCCTGTTCATAGATTTCGCGGAAGGCTGATCGATGTATGGTGTATGCTCTATGAGGCTGGCATTTGTCTGCATTGCTTTGTCGCATGATGCCAGTCTGATGTGCGCAAGAGCATGTTTCGTCGACGACAACTCGTGGATTCCGTGAGACGAAAGTACTGGCGGCCTAGCTTTTCCCACGCCGCTCTTTTCGATACATCTCTAAAGTCGTCCAATTTCGAGAGGCGAAAGTGCAACCTTTTAGAAACGACCAGGTTCCGAGGCCGAATGCCTTAATCGGGTCGCGTTAGTCGTGTATATCGTCGTATTCATATTGCCATGCTCACTCCCTCGCATCCGCCTATTGTCTAGGCGTGGGGATACGCTCTAATTTATCGTACTGTACTATCTTAATTAGCAGCTTCGGCCGTTTCTTCGCAATCTCCTCCGTTCCGAGTCACTTGTGCTTCTAGTCTCCTCTTCTCCTCTGCGCGGGCGACTTCTGAGTCTCCTCAAAACTCCTGCTCTCCGCTTCTTATTCCGACTGACCTACCGGGGGTTCCTAACTTGCGTCACCCCGCAGGCGCGGGAAGGCGGCGTGCGCGGATTAGGCTTGCGCGGATACTGCCCGTGCGCGGAGAGTGAGATCGGCGCGCGCGGGGTGCATGCGCGGAGAGAAATGGCCACTGCTGTGCGGAACAGCAGCGGGGGAAGCGGCGGAGGGACCGCTGGCCGGGGCGACGGCGCAAGCAGAGGGCGCGCGGGCGTCAGGGGGAAAGCGGCACTGGGCGGGCGGAGCGGAGAGCAGGGGGAAAAGTTGCGCGTAGCCGCTGGGGAAGGGAGCGCGCATGGCGCAGGGGGAAGGGTAGATAGAAGCAGGGGGAGGGGAACAGGGGCGAGCGGAAGGGTTCGGGGGCGAGGGCGGAGAGTAGAAGAGCCAGTCCGGGGGAAGGAAGTGATTGGAGAGAAACAGAAGAGAGTCGTTTCCGCACAGGAGGAGCGTGAGGAGACAAGGGGAAGAGCTGAAGGTGATAGCGTAGCGGAACGTGATAGAGTAGCTGAAACGGAGACCGAAGGGGCACAGACAGAGGAGGTGGGGGTGGCAAGGGCGAGTGGTAACAACAGCCATAGCAGTGGGGATAGGGCTGAGGATAGGACTGGTGCTGAGGGGGTGAGAGAGCCTGCGATTGGTCTGGATTCGTCTCAAGAAGCGTCTAGGTTCACTGAATGTGGGGTTTCGTTGGGGTGTGAGACGGTCGCAGGTGGTGCAGAGGTAGGGACGGAGGGGCTGGGTTGCCAGAGAGAAGGGGAGGTGGGGGAAGAGGGGGTGGAAGAGTGCGGGGATGATGCTGCATCATTGGGAATGGGACGAGGAGAGGGTGGGGATGGGAGTGTGGAGAGAGGAGGGGAGAGGAGAGGAGGGACGGAGGCCGGGGAGGGAGCAGATGAGGGAGAAGGAGGAAGGGGAGAGGGGGAAGGGGAGGAGGATGTAGGGAAGGCGCATGGATGGAGGGAAACCACGGGAAAGGGTGAAGGTGAGGTGCAGATGACCGGTCAATCGGTGAGCAAGGGAACGAGTGAGGGAGCGAATGAGGGGGTGAGTAAGGGAGTGAGCGAAGGAGTGCCTGTGGGTGTGAGTTCACAGGAAGCTGGGGAGCTGAGAGGTCAAGACGGGTCACACGGGGTGGAGGAGGAAAGGAGGGAACTCGGGGATGCAACGCAGACAGAATGTGTGGGGGGGTTTGAGCGGAGAGGAGAGACTGAAAAGCCAGCAGGAGAAGGAGAAGGGAAGGAAGGATCTTTAGATGCCTATCCAGTACCGATTGAGAGGGCGACAGATGCTGCATGTGGGGGAGTGGAAGAAGGGGGTGATGCAAGGAATGGTGCTAGCAGTGGTGCTGGGAGTGCTACTACTAGTAGTGCTTGTAGGAGTGATACTAGGGTGAGTGGTGAAAAGAGTAGGGATCAGGGCGGCCAGAAGGGTGGGAAAGGAGGTGAGAGAGAAATGCCAGACAGAAATGAAAACACACATTTGCTAAAATCACAGCAGCAGCAGCAGCAGCAGCAGCAGCAGCAGCAGCAGCAGCAGCAGCAGCAGCAGCAGCAGCAGCAGCAGCAGCAGCAGCAGCAGCAGCAGCAGCAGCAGCAGCAGCAGCAGCAGCAGCAGCAGCAGCAGCAGCAGCAGCAGCAGCAGCAGCAGCAGCAGGAACAGCAGCAGCCGTTGCAGCATGGTGTGGCGGCAGCACGAACCCCACAAGAGCAGCAACAGATGCTGGTGCTGCAGCAGGCGCAGACCCAGGCACAGCCGCAGGCACAGGCACAGGCACAGGCACAGGCACAGGCACAGGCACAGGCACAGGCACAGGCACAGGCACAGGCACAGGCACAGGCACAGGCACAGGCACAGGCACAGGCACAGGCACAGGCACAGGCACAGGCACAGGCACAGGCACAGGCACAGGCACAGGCACAGGCACAGGCACAGGCACAGGCACAGGCACAGGCACAGGCACAGGCACAGGCACAGGCACAGGCACAGGCACAGGCACAGGCACAGGCACATGCACAGGCACAGGCACAGGCACAGGCACAGGCACAGGCACAGGCACAGGCACATGCACAGGCACAGGCACATGCACAGGCACAGGCACAGGCACAGGCACAGGCACAGGCACAGGCACAGGCACATGCACAGGCACAGGCACATGCACAGGCACAGGCACAGGCACAGGCACAGGCACAGGCAGCCACAGCAGCAAGTGCATCTGCAGCAGCAGTGATGCATGGGTGGTCTGAACGATGGAGTGAACTGGCCACACTCAGGGCTGACAGGTGTGTGTGTGTGTGTGTGTGCGTGCGTGCATGCCCATGTGCGCATGTACATGGTGAAATCAATGGGAGTGTTTGTCAGTTAACGTCCCTTCCTCGGATTATGAGCTCTGGTTGTTGCACTTTCCGCCTCCCTCGTCCACCCTCCCCCTCCCTTTTAACCCTCCCACGTCCTCCCCCCCGCATTCTCATCACCTACTGTTCTAAAGCCGAAAACTGAAACGCTGAATCCGTGCGCCTGCCTTTGCCACGTCTCCCCCATCACTAAGTCTCCACAAACCCCCACAACCCGAACCACACCCCATCCTTCCCCCGCGCTCCCAGGAATGCCACGGAGCAGCAGCTAGCAGCAGCAAGCTCCACGCTCACCACGTGTCTGCGCCGCCTGCACCTGCTGCGCCGCAGGGAAGACCAGCTGCTGCTCGACCTGCGCCTGCGCTCCGCTTCCTCTCCCCTGGTGAGCTCCTTTTGACGTCTCGAAAGTCTTGACGAGTTTTAAATCGCAAAAGCCGCCTCTGCGCCCCTGGTGGGTGGGTTGCTGCTGCGATGCCCCTCGGATCAGAGCTCCCTTGCCCCTGGTGAGCTTCTTTTGAGACGTCTGGTGGTGAGCTGCCGCCTCAAAAGCAGCTCTGGTGAACTGCCGCCTCAAAAGCTAGCTTCTCTCTCACCTCTGGTGAGCCGCGGCACTGCCCCTCTGCTCACCTCACCCATCCCCTTTTTTGAGTCGACCTGGAATTCACCTCGTTTCACTACAAGCTTGCTTCATAGATGGATGCTCACAGTCTGCACACAACAAGCTTGATTCCCCCTTGATGTAGACTGTGTCACTGTGAGCATCGTCGTGCTTCCAAGTTCGTTCCTATCTCCGGACAGAACCCTCTGTCAAGTCAACTATCCGTTTTATTCACATTCGTTTAAATTACTTAAGTGGCGTCCATATCATGCCCTCCACATTCCGTCCCATCTACTACTTTCCTTGGTCCCCCCATGTCACCAGCTGGGTGGGGCGCCTCATGCTGCTGCAACTCACACTGCCCCACTGGCATATGCTGCACCGACAGCACCAGCAGCGGGAGGAGCAGGAGTAGTAGTAGGAGGAGGAGTAGGAGGAGGAGGAGGAGGAGGAGGAGGAGGAGGAGGAGGAGGAGGAGGAGGAGGAGGAGGAGGAGGAGGAGGAGGAGGAGGAGGAGGAGGAGGAGGAGGAGGCCAATTAGGAGGAGGGTCCCACTCCCAGTCTCTCTTAGCAGCAGTGAAGGGTGAAGAGGTGCAACAGCAGCAGCAGCAGCAGCAGCAGCAGCAGCAGCAGCAGCAGCAGCAGCAGCAGCAGCAGCAGCAGCAGCAGCAGCAGCAGCAGCAGCAGCAGCAGCAGCAGCAGCAGCAGCAGCAGCAGCAGCAGCAGCAGCAGCAGCAGCAGCAGCAGCAGCAGCAGCAGCAGCAGCAGCAGCAGCAGCAGCAGCAGCAGCAGCAGCAGCAGCAGCAGCAGCAGCAGCAGCAGCAGCAGCAGCAGCAGCAGCAGCAGCAGCAGCAGCAGCAGCAGCAGCAGCAGCAGCAGCAGCAGCAGCAGCAGCAGCAGCAGCAGCAGCAGCAGCAGCAGCAGCAGCAGCAGCAGCAGCAGCAGCAGCAGCAGCAGCAGCAGCAGCAGCAGCAGCAGCAGCAGCAACAGCGGTCCTCCTCATCCACTCTCAGGGCAGGCCCCCTGGCCCCTCTGTCCATTCCCCCGCGCCCTCCCCTTCGCTCCCACGCCAGCAAGAAGGCTGCTGTTGCCACTGCTGCTGCGGGGACTGGTGGAGGGATGGGAGTGGGAGGAGGTGCAGGAGGAGGGGAAGGAGAAGGAGGGGTGACAGGAGGGGATGGGACGATGAAAGGAGGGGAGGGTGGTGGTGGTGTGGCGTCTAATGTTCCTCCCGCTGCTTCTGTTGAAGGAACAGAAAGGGGACATGCGATTGCTGCTGCTGCTGCTGCTGCTGCTGCTGCTGCTGCTGCGGCTTCCACTGCCGTGGCTACTCGCCCTGCTGCTGCTCCTGCTGCTCCTGTTCCTGCTGCTGTCCCAGCTGGTCTGAAAGCAGTTGACGCTGCCACATCTGCAGCTGCCACTGCTACTTCTGATACTTTTTCTGCAGTAACGCGAGCAGCCAAACAAGCAGCACCTGCCACTGCTGTTGCCACCTCAGCTGCAGGTGCAGCACCACCAGCCATAGCAGCAGCAGCAGCAACATCACCAGCAGCAGCCGCAGCAGCAGGCGCAGCAGGGCAGGTGGTGGGATCGTTATGGGATTCCCCTCGAGAGGTGGTGGTGAGGTCTGTAACGGCCCGAGATGCCAGCATATCCACTGTGCTCCACTCTCTAGACGCTGTCAGACGCCAGGTTGCGTGCTCCTTCCGCCCCGGGGCAGCAGCAGGGCAGCACATTGCGGGTGGAAAGCACCTTGCAGGGGCAGCAGGGCAGCACAGGGCGTCAGGGACAGGGGCAGGGGCAGGGGCAGTGACAGGGACAGGGACAGGGACAGGGACAGGGACAGGGACAGGGACAGGGACAGGGACAGGGACAGGGACAGGGACAGGGACAGGGACAGGGACAGGGACAGGGACAGGGACAGGGACAGGGACAGGGACAGGGACAGGGACAGGGGTAGGTATGGAGCAGCATGGGCTGCTGCCGACTGGTGTTTCTGGGTCAGGGAGGTTGATTGTTCGAACCAGAGGGAGTGCTGTCAGCTCACCTGTACAGCAGGAGGCGTCAAGAGGGGGGTTGGGTGGGAGTTCTGGGAGGGGAGGGGGTGAAGGAGACGGGGAGGGGGGAGGAGGAGGACGACGAGGAGGAGGAGGAGGAGGAGGAGGAGGAGGAGGAGGAGGAGGAGGAGGAGGAGGAGGAGGAGGAGGAGGAGGAGGAGGAGGAGGAGGAGGAGGAGGTGGGGTTGAAGGAGTAGCAGGAGGGGCAGGGGTGTCAGGGATGGCAGGGGTTGGGAGTGGCAGTGATGGGCGTACCGCGGTGCCCCATAACGTCCATTCAGGCCAACTCGGTGCATCCGCTGCCGGCCCTGCCAATGCCAGTGCTGCTGCCGCCGCTGCTGCCGTTTCTGCTGCCGGAGGTGATGACGCTGGTGTTGAAGGTTCCGCCAAAGACTTTCTTGGTGCAACTATACCTCCCCTGCCTACTCACACCTCGTCAGCGGCAGCAGTGATGGCGGCAGCAGCATCAGCAGCAGCATCAGTATCCGCACCAGAAGCAACAACAGGAGGAGGAGGAGGAGGAGGAGGAGGAGGAGGAGGAGGAGGAGGAGGAGGAGGAGGAGGAGGAGGAGGAGGAGGCTCAGCTGGGCAAGCAGAAGAATCAGCAACAGGAACAGCAGAACCACCTGCAGAACCAGCAGCAGCAGCAGCAGCAGCAGCAGCAGCAGCTGCAGGTACAGGTCTCTTCCCCAACCCCTCACCTTCTCCTACTCCCTCTATCCGCTCCCTTGGCCCCATCCCCTCCCCAGCATCCAGCGGCATCATCCCTCTCAACCCCTATGCACCGCACAGCATCGCCATTCGCGCCATCAGCAGCGGGAGCTACCGTAGCTCCCCCTCCCCTTCCGCTCCCCGCTACATTGTCTCATCCCCCTCCCCATCCCCCATGGCCTCGTCCCCGTTCCACTACACGCCAACTTCTGCCGGCCACTCCAAACCCGGCTCGCATTTCGCATATGGAAACCGGGCGTGGTATGGAGGAGGGCCCAATGGAACTCCCTCGGGATCTTCAGGGGCTGGAGGTGGCAGTAAGAGTAACACGACTGCCACCACCACTCCCACCACCACCAACAGCACCACTGGGTTTTCACCTGACGGTCTCCCTGCGCTCCCTCCTTTTCTTCCTTCTGAGTACTTTGTTGCTACACTGGGTGGAGATCCTAATGTGGATTTGAGAGAAGATGTGAATGGGGGTTTTACTGGAGAGTATGGGTTTGATGCACGGATGTTTGAGGCGGGTGGAGGAGCTGGTACTATGTTTGATGCTTTAGCATCTGCAGCTGCCCCTGCTGCTCCTGATGGTGCAACTTCTGCTGCTGCTCCTTCTGCTAGTGTTGCGTCAACCGCTGCTGCATCTGCTTTGGCTGCTTCAACGGCTGCTAGCAGCCTCACAGCTACCAATGCTGCGCCTCAAGTTGATTCCATCCTGTCACAGCCTTCGCATCCCTCTGCTGCGTCCTCTGCTGTAACTACTGCTGTACCTACTGTGTCTGCTCCAGCTAATGCTGCCTCTATCAACCCCACCAACACCACCGCCACCCCCACCACCTTCCCTCCAACCGACACTAGCATTCCTGGGTCTCTCCCTTCCAGTTCCTCTTCCCGGTCCTTCCATCAACCTCCCTCCACCGTCACACCATCCTTGGAACGTTTTCACTCTCCCCTGCTGGACACCCTACAGGGAGTCCTTGCCCGCACTGCTATCCGCTCAGACTCACCCACACACCTTTCCGGACAACACTTGGGAGACGCAGCAGGAATAGACGGCGGCAGAGGTACAGGCTTGCACGCAGCTAAGCACAACAACCAATTCCACCCCAACACCACGAGCACCAGCGCCATTGGCTCTAGCAGCAGCGCCAACACCAGTAGCAGCAGCAGTAGCAGTAACAGCACTGCTGTGGGCGCTCGGGAGGGGCATGGGTCTGCATATTTCTGGAACCCTGCAGAGTCCAGCACACGTGGTGCTACCATGGCAGAATCTGACGCCTTTGGATTTCTCTCCTCGCACTCCCTGCTGCCACCGGATGCATTCGGCCATACCTTCCCGCATGCAGGCCCGATAGAAAAGGGTGGTGGTGGCGCTGGCAGCGGCGGCGCCGGTGTTGGCAGTGGTGGCGGCAGCAGTGGCGGTGGGAATGGTGGTGGTGGCCTGGGTGGAAGCTCCTTTGGTGGGGCATGTGAGGCGGGCATGATGGGTGATCTGATGGGTTTTGACATCTTTAGTGGTATGATGACACATGCTGTAGGTTTGGCAGCACCTGAATTTCCAGACGCACTAGGAGAAGCAGGAGCAGGAGCAGGAAGAGGAGCAGGAGTGGGAGGGGGAGCAGGAGCAGCAACGGCAGCAGCATCAGGTAGAGTAGGTGGAGACGCAGGAACAGGCACTGCCACAGGGGGACCTTCGTTCGGGCTGCATGCTTTTCCATTAGATCTCAATTTACTCTTCAACATGCCAGGTGCTGCTGCAGCTGCCCCTTCCCCACCTGCTGCTTCCGCTGCCATGACTGCTTCGACTGGCCCACATGCTCCCACCCCCTCTGCTCCTGCCGTGGCTGTTGATACACTCTCCTCCTCAGCACATCGCATGCCCCATTCGCAGGTCCCTCCTCCTCCTACTGTGCTTCCTCCTTCGTCCTCACAACCCTCTCTGGCTGCTCCGCAGTCTGGCATGTATGCTGACAACATGGCCATCACTTATTTGAATCCCCTGAATTCAGGATTACATGCCATACCTGGGGGCATGCGCATGAGCATGGGCATGGGTATGGCAGAAGGAGGGACGGGAACAGTGGGTGAAAGGATAGGAATGGCAGAATGGGGCATGGGGATGAGCAGTGCAGCAGTGGGCATGGGTATGGAGAGCAGGCTGGGTGCACCATGGGAGCACATGCAGCCCATGCCGGGGCAGCAGTAGCAGCACCAGCAGCAGCAGCACCAGCAGCAGCAGTACCAGCAGCAGCACCACGACCAGCAGCAGCAGCAGCACCAGCACCAGCAGCACCAGCAGTACCAGCAGCACGAACAGCAGCAGCAGCAGTACCAGCAGCAGCAGCAGCAGCAGCAGCAGCAGCAGCAGCAGCAGCAGCAGCAGCAGCAGACAGTTTTTCAGCTGCCATTCGAGCCATCTCAGCAGCATCACGCGCACACTGCAGGAGCGACATCAGGAGGGCTTATGCACCCGCGGCAGGCACCCATGGGTGTCATCATGCACGTGCATGTGCCCAGCTCCACACACGCCTCCACCAATGATGGCGCGTCAGAGAAGGGCGGCGGCGGTGGTGGCGGCAGCGGTGTGGGGGGACAGTGGAGCACGCCCTTCAATCCTTCATCTGTGCACCTGTGAATCTGTGCACCTGTGAATCTGTGCACCTGTGAATCTGTGCACCTGTGAATCTGTGCGCATGTGAACATGTTTCAGCCATATTTCAGTCATGGTTTTGGCTCGGTTTTCTCTGCTGGTCTTACCGCGGCATTTTAATCTGATGACTTCTGCACACTTCCATTTGTTGGGCTGAAAAAGCCCTTAGGATCTTTGCAGGACAGAATTCAAGGGTAGGATGATGTAATAGCGGAAGCGTTAAGTAAAGACTTTGTGAACCACCTTGCGCTGGTATGTGAGGGCAAAGTAGATTGATTAAAGTAAACAGATACAAGCTTTTATATGAATACAAGGAATATGAAGAGATATTATTAATAACCGTTTTACTGTTGCTGTTGCGGTTCGATACAGTGTCGACTCGGGCAACTGCTCAGTATCGAGGCAGCTGTTTGTCCTTGCTGTCGCGCTGCATTTGTCAGGTCAAAGGTCACTGACCTTTGACTTTCGCGTAACCTCCAACAGTTGTTCAACCTTCGAGGGTTGACTCGCCGATGCTTCGATATATTCTGCTTCGCTTTTGACTTGGTGTTTCGACACGACAGAGGCGCTTAAATCAGTTGTTTCCAACACCATTTGCAAATTTATTACCGTACCATATCTGACCTCTTTGTACCGTATTACCCCGGATAGTAGCGCATATGCGTTTATAATAATATGTTTTTTTAAGGAGGGCGCTTGTAATTGAATATCGGCCATAAGCGCCGGCGCTTATATAACGACAAATACAGAAATATAACTTAAACGCACCAAATTGTACATTTCAGTCTCGTAAGTTGAATCGAATCGAAATTTTACAGGGTCCAGAATCAGAATCGCGCAAGGGCGATTTTCTGACGGTGCACAGAGCTTTGGCACGTCATTTTGCCCGCGTGCCAACTCATACTGACTGGAAGCGCAACCAGTAGGTTCTCGAAAGTTAAACAAAGTGAAAATGGGGGTGTTGACTGTTAGAATGTAAGCGAATGGAATGAAACAGAGAAGAAGGGTTTCACTAGCAGGCAGTTGAGTACATATAGCAAACCCTAAATTGGGCTGTACTCGCTATTGAGTACCCCACTGCAGGCTAGACAAACGTAACATTCTGACACACCCCCATAGTCAAAGTGGGGTATGATTAGCACAACAAGCAACGCAAAACAAGCTCAGGGTGGATCACGACGTCACCACACATTCTGAGCACAAGTACAAGAAGCAGCAGTTTATAGTTCACAAATATAAGCAAAGCTAGAGGCAGTCACAGACAGTAAGTGAGGAGGAGGAGGGACTGTGAGAGGAGAGGAGATAGGAGACGACGGGTGAAGCTGCAGAAACACGGGCAACAGGAGCGGCGCGCACTGTGGCTACCGGAGATTGTAGCCTCCGGACTACTGGAGTAATGTCAGAATCCCAACCACTAGACCATTGGGATAAAAGGGCTTGTTAAATAGCGGGTCAGTGCGCCCATAACCCCCCAGGACAACGAGCCTGTAACCCTTCCCTAGGATCAATCGGGGATCACCAGTGGACCTCTGACACCCCCCCGCACTGGGATGCCCGAAGTGCACACACTGGGATTCGAACCCGAGACCTTCGCTCCGATACCATGTCAGAATCCCAACCACTAGACCATTGGGATAAAAGGGCTTGTTAAGTAGCGGGTCAGTGCGCCCATAACCCCCCAAGACAACGAGCCTGTAACCCTTCCCTAGGATCAATCGGGGATCACCAGTGGACCTCTGACAAGTAACTGGCTCTGCGGCTAACTCTGAGCGGCAGGAGCAACGGACCCACGCGCGACTGGCGCAACAGGCTCGCTGGGCTACCGAAGATTGTAGCCTCCGGACTACTGGCGCTGCTGGCGACACGACGGCTGCCTCCGCCCAACCTCCCTCTAACTGTCTCACCCCCCTTTCACCCACCCCCTGTTACACCCCTAGTTTCACTCCCACGACACACCCCCCTAGTACCACTCCTTCGTCTCCCAAACACCCACCCCCCTCAGCGGCAGCTGCAGCAGTGGGAGACGGAGGAGGAGGAGGAGGAGCAGGGGAGGCCACACACACCCGCCACCCCATACGCGTCATCCCCAAACCCTAACACAGGGCAGGGCCGGAGTTGGCGGGTAGGGAGGGTGGGGGGGGGGGGGGGGGGGCAGGGCCGCGACAGGGCCGGGGCTCAGCGGCAGGGCAGGGCCGCGACAAAGAACGGGAGGGGCCGACGCGCGGCCCCCCAGGTCGCCTCAACGGGTGACGGAGGGGGGGCGACGCGCGGCCCCCCAGGGCGCCACGACGGGCGACGGGGGAGGGGGCGATGCGCGGCCCCCCAGGGCGCCACGACGGGCGACGGGGGGGCAACGCGCGGCCCCCAGGTCGCCTCGTCGGGCGACGGGGGGGGGGGGGGGGGGGGGACGCACGCCCCCCCAGGTCGCCGCGACGGGCGACGGGGGGGGCGACGCGCGGCCCCCCCAGGGCGCCACGACGGGCGACGGGGGGGGGGGGGGGCGACGCGCGGCCCCCAGGGCGCCGCGACGGGCGACGGGGGGGGCGACGGGATGGGGGGGGGGCTACTCGCGGGCCCCCCAGGGCTCCGCGACGGGCGACGAGCAGGGCAACGCGCGGGCCCCCAGGGCGCAGTGGGAGAAAGCAAACCTCAGAGCGCGTGGCGGGAAGAAAAAACGTCGCGCACCAGGGGGCGCGCGACAGACAGATCAGCAGCGGAAGCATTGGGTGGGCCCATCCACAGGATCGACCCGGGGGGGTCGACCTGCTCTGATTCCATGTTAGAATGTAAGCGAATGGAATGAAACAGAGAAGAAGGGTTTCACTAGCAGGCAGTTGAGTACATATAGCAAACCCTAAATTGGGCTGTACTCGCTATTGAGTACCCCACTGCAGGCTAGACAAGCATAACATTCTGACATTGACTCGATAGAAATTTGAAATTCGTTACCGGTACCGTTTTAATCAGCATTGAAAATTAAAATTTGCATGCGCTTATAATATGTATGTGTTTTATAGGGGGGGCGCTTATAATCGAATTCCGGCCATAAGCGCCATGCTCCAGATAGAAGCGCCGGCGCCTTTAATCGGACGGCGCCTATATCCGGGGCCATACGGTAGAATTTTCCGATATCCTGGCACTACGCATTTTCTAGCACAATCATGTGTAGGAATATGACAACTGAGATTGAGAGTGACGTCAATCACGAAGTGGCCCAGCCAGATTCTCTTGATTTTCGGATGGGAAACATGATGCTGCTGATGTGGCTAAGGTATGCTGTATTATATTTAAAGCAGCAGCAGTGTACATTTGGCAGTGCCAGTGCCAAAAGTATATAAATGGGACTTGGTGGTAACCAAATTACAGGGCCACTCAACTAAAGTTGCCTTTCTTCTGTAGGTACATGCACAATTCTCTAGAAGTGGTGGAGGGGCTCAGAATTTTCGCCAATACTTGCTGCAATCAAGAGTTGATCGTAACGTCACGTAGGTGCGCTGAATTTCGGATATATTCATGGTACTGTACACCAGTTCGTCAGTCCCGCCGTCAATCACGTCGAATTTGCGGGTGTCCCCGGATATGTTATGCCTGGGCATTGATTCTCCTCTCACAAGTGTTCCAAAACCTTAGATTGTGAAAGTCTACTTAGGCTGACTTGCAAAGGCATCGTTATCATTTCATATGGGTTGTAGTACATCGTTCTCGTCATATATAGGTCTACATAATAGCATACACAAATGGGTGGGCGGGTGGGAAATTAGAACTACAATTTCGGAAATGAAAACGTGGGTGGGGACGAATGTCCCCACGTCCCTCTTTTGTAGGCAAAAGAGGGTGAGTAGCGCTTTGGCGCTACCTTGGTTGTGTTGGCCACGTACCCCTTTTCACAATAAAAATTTTTAGAAAGTGTTACATTTCATTACACTTTCAAAATTTATCATATTGTGAAAGTCTACTTAGGCTGACTTGCAAAGGCAGCGTTATCATTTCATATGGGTCTTCTGAGGCAAGTTCAGTCGGGACTGGTGGTGCCGTTCGATTGATAGCTGATGCGTGGCGGGTGAGGGAGCCGTCGAAGGATCCTGCAACTGCGTGGAGAGGGAGATGAGCTGATCATGCGCGATTGTAACGTACATCTCCTTCGCGCTGTCACTGCGCCATCGGCCCATGCGCTTGAAGAGCCGGCCGGGAACTCCGAGGCTTGCCGCCGCGGTGGCTGCACCTTTGCGAATTGAGTGGATTCTGATGTGCGCGACATCCAGTCCAGCCTGCCTGCCGGCCTCGAGACAACAGTTTCTGATCATGACGTAGGATAGCGAGTTGTCGTTCGGTGTGGCTTGCGAGTTCTTTGGGAAAACCCTTATCAGCGGTCCAAGTGGCATCTTTGTGAGGCCTACGATGCGTATGAATTTGCGTGTGCACCTCACCGGGCAGTATGGGCCTGGAATTGCCACCACTGGGATCCAGACACCTGTCCCTTCCTGGTCCGTCTTGGAGTGCGGGATGAGCAGCCACATTGCCTTCTCCTCGAACTGTACATCATTCCATTGGAGCGATACGAGGTCAAATGAGCACAAGAATGCCGAAAACATGAGAAGAGGAATCAATCCTTTTTGGTATTCCGCCGGAATTGATGATTTGAGGAAGGGACGGGCCATGTTGTGCACTTGATGGAGAGATATGGGTTCTTTGGTCCTTGCAGGTTGGGGACCATGTCTCTTGGCGAACTCCCGCACTTGCAGGGTGAATGGACCGACG